GATCTAAAGACTTTATGAAGCATTGCTACAATACTCTGGTGAAGATAAGAGGAAATACCTAACGCACTTATAAAATATTTCTACTTAAACTACATGCAGTGATACATGCTTACAATTCCAGCACTGAGAGACTGAGGCAAGAGCATCACAAATTTGAGCCCAGCCTCCACAACTTAGCAAGTCATGATCTCAAAATGAAAAACAAAAACAGGGTTAGGGATGCGGCTCAAAGCAAAAGCCCTGGGTTCAATCCCCAGCAACCCCTACCCAAATTGCACTTACTTCATGAAACCCAAGATACTCTTATAGTAAAGTTATCTTAAGAAACGCTGCTAATTAAAGTGTGACATGTCAGAGACAGTAATATACAATATAACCCAGTAATATACAACATAAGCCAATTTGAGAAATATTAAGTTGTGAAACAAATATTCATTCCAAAGGAAATAAAACATGGTTTTCTTTAAAGTGTTGGTGTTTTAGAGAGTCTTTTGCCAAAAATTCTGCAATCCAGAAGGGCTTTTTTCTAGATATTTACTGTTAATTCCTCAAGGTAAAAGATTTTTACCTGTGGGTAGCAGACAAGTTGTCTATACAAATTCTTATCAAACGATTTTATATGTTCACAGTTTACATTTAAAAATGGCTCCCCAATCACATTGATCTGTAAGACAAAAAGAACAAGTTATATGTTGCTAACTTTATTATCTTAGGCTCTATAACTTTAATCTACACGTAAGGGTACTGTGTTACCTCTGCAAGTCGCTGCATGTACAGAGGTTCAGTAATATCTATGCCAACGTTTTCTTCTTCTTTAGCCAGAGGGTCAATGAAACGCTGAAGAAATCTCTTGATGTGAAGAGAAAAAAATATTAAGTTTAATGAACTCAGGAATAAGTACTAATATATATAGAAGCCACGAATAAGTGCCTAAATATAAGCATATAGGTGTATATCTATATATGTAACATTAACATATATCTTGAGAAACACTAATTCTGCTCCTAGGCACTATCACTCCTTACTTGCTCTCTTTAGGCCAATATTCTCAGGGCCCTAAAGTATAAATTTTAACACATACTGCTCACCTGAAAATTTTCTTTGCATGTTGCCACATTCACATCGGTTCCCCAAATAACAAGTTTTTGGCCTAGAGACTGTTCACTTGCCACTATATCTTCTGCTGCTGCCTGCAGAGGAAAATAACAGAGCTCTGTCAATGGAATTACCCATTCTACACTCCCAAGAGGGCGCTCCCGGGAGGCTGATGGGTACTTACCCCATCAGACTGCAGATCCACTTGCAGACCTTTACGAGCAGAACCCAGGTCTGGCCTCTGCCTCACAGGTGTGCCCCTAACCCCACTCCTTGGGGTTCCCTCCACCCGAGAGCTGGGAGTGCCATATGTCAGTGGTGAGCTAATATCAAAGTCCAGCGGAATAGCTAGAAGAACAAAATATAAAGTTTATGGTGAAATTCAGGTAGTACATCAAAACTGAAAGTACAGCATGTTTGCTGATCTGTTATCTAAAAGCAAAAAATTTTGAACACTGAATGTTTTAAATGAAAAACACAAGACAAGTTTTCTCTACTCAGCATGTCCTAACACCAACCATCTCTGCTTTATCCTACAGCTCTTTCGGTGAAGAACCCAAGCAGGAGGAATGCGTAAGCATACGTCAACTACTGCTCCTCGCAAGGGAGCAAACCTGACCAACTGTGTAATCAAGCACAGTGTGGTCTCGATCTTCAGAAACCCACCTGAGGCATGCATCTGCGGAGGGCTGGAAAACAAGGCATCCTGAGCCCCCCTCTGCAGGTCTGCTCCGGGGGAGGTGGGCATCGGCTGCAGCTCTCCAGTGCTGGTGGAATCCTCGCCCCTGCGTCTCCGAGAGGGAGACGACTTAGCATCCTCGCTTCGGGCTTAAGTCGCACAAAACAAAGACAAGACATTAACGCTCTGGTTTAGTTTTTCAGGATTTACCTCCTAGAATGGTTTGATTCATTCCTTAACAAATGCAAATTAGATACAATCGAGCCAAGTGGGCTCGGGCATGTTTAACCCACTGAAACGAGAAACCACCCCGGGTCAGATGAAGACGCCACCTAGCGCCAGCTGAATGTCTGGGCAGCCGCCCGCACCGTAGCAGGCGTGGACGCCAAGGCAGACGCCTGCACTTTAGCAGACAGGCGCGCTCGGGCTAGCGGAGGAGAAGCCGGAAGGGCCGGGGACTAGGAGAGAGCTTGGGGCGCCAGCGGCTGCTGGAGGACGGGGCAGGGGGCAGAGCGAGACTCACGCGTCTGAGCCGGGGTGGTCCATCCGCGCCGGCTGCTGCGGCGGCTCGGGGTCGAGGCCGGCGACGACATGGTGCTGCGAGCCTGAACGACAGGGACGGCTCGTGCCGCGTCCGTCCGTTCCGCACTCTTCCCGCCCCGCCAAGTCGTGCGTCCCCACCGAGCGTTGCGCTTTTCCCGCCCAGACGCAACGCGGTTACCCGGAAAAGGCAGCCACCTGGCGACCCACAAAGATTCCCAACACCTGGAGGGCCCGGCTTGAGGAAAACACACACACGGCTAAGAGTTCCCGCCGGCGGCACGCTCGTCACCGCCCCGGGCGGCGCCCACCAATCGTAGAGGCGCTCTCAGGAGGCTCCGCCTTCGGAAGGTACCACTGTGCGCCAACAGGGGGAACTGAACGACTGCCCGCAGAAAACAGCCGAAGACGTCGCTAGGTCCTACCTTCAGTTCAGATGGTCAGACTTCCGGCCGTGTCGCGTTTTCGCGGGAAATCTGGGGCGTACCACAAGAGCAATTGCTGGAGGGGTACCTCTTCCTGTTAGCATTGGCTAGAATTATACTTCTTCGTCCCTTTGGCTTTTTTTTTTTTACTTGAAAAAGACACCGTAAATACATTTTTCACTCTTTATCGAGAAATAATGTTGTCAACCTTAACCAGACCCCTACTTTGTGTTTTTCAAGTGTTGTCCCCATCTATTTCCGTTGGATTCCCATTTTTCCTTATTTTTAGGTGTGTACATACTACCTGCACTATGTGCTACTCATTCATAAAACTGTAGGTTAACGTTGTGTAAGGGTACAATATAATGGCATTGAATGTTTTCGGTGTTTTACATCCGTCACCATCTAGACCCAAAACTTACTCCTCACTCCCAAGAGAAAGGTCTAGTAGAGGTATTTTTCGCAGGAGGAAACTCCAGCGAGAGTTTATAGGGAGCTTCCCGCGACCAGGGCTCCGCCCACGCCTGAAAGCCCCGCCCACTCTCCAAAGGCCCCGCCCACGCCCCGAAAGCCCCGCCCACGACCGAGTCAATACCGCGCCTGGGCTCTGCGCGCGCTTGCGCGGGAGGCCAGGGGTCAGCGTCATGGCGGACTCCAGAAGCGGTGTGCAGGGCTCTCTGCTGGAGCTGCAGGAGTTCTTGTCCACCGCGGACCACTACAGCGCTGCCACGGCCAGCTATCAGCTGATCCGCGGCCTGGGGCAGGAGTGCGTGCTAAGCACCAGCCGGGCTGTGCTGGGTGGGTACCGTTCCGGCTGGTGTGTGTTCCGCTCGCTTGGCGCGCTCTGTGAGGGTCCGTCAGCTCGGGGCTGTGTCTAGGAGTCGTTTGCAGTCCCCCGAGTTTTTGTGGAAGTGTGTAAAGAGCTACTTGTCGTACTGCCTTCCCGCAGCATCAGCAGAAAGGTAGCTTAACAGCTTTTCGGAAGTGACCGCCGAGTTGCCGACGGTTCAGTGCGCTCCAAAGTGGGGGGGAAGGGACTAGAGGAAGTATTTTTTCTTTTCTTTTCTTTCTTTTTTTTTTTTTAGGAAGTATTTTTTTCTACCTTAATTTTTGCCTAAATGTGCCAGCAGCCCGCCGCCCCTTTCTTACATTTATTGTTCCTGATTTTGAAAAGAGTCACATAAATCAAACTGGAAAGTAATTTTTATTTTTATTTATTTATTTTTTTTTTTGAGACAGGGTGTAGTTTTGCAGTGCAGGGTGGCCTTGAACTCAGAGATGCTCCTGCCTCAGCTGTCGCTGCTGCCACCCTCGCGATAAGTTTAAGAGCCTGAATCACCTCCCCAGCTCTCAGGTTCTTTTCACTTGTGAGCCATGTCCGTATGAGGACTTTTTCTGTTCTGAGAAGTTCTTTAGCATGTTAAAATTTAATTGTACAATCCGTTAAGATTTCTCAATTCCCGTTTTTTTAAATTTATTTATGTGTGTGTGTGTGTGTGTGTGTGTGGCCAGCTCAGCCCACCAGGGGGCGGGGCTGGCTGGCATGTGGTGCTGGGGGATTGAACCGCGGTCCCTGATGCTTTTGCTAAGCTTGTTCTAAGTAGGTGCTTTAGACCACTGAGCCATCTCACCAGCCCTCAATTCCCGTTTTTAAGAAACAATTATGCAAATCTTTTTATCTACAGCTATGCAAACCCTTTTACCTACATGTAGGGCTAGTGGAGGTCTAAAAGGCCAGTACTAAATACAGTGTAGAAATGTAAACAACACAGTAAACAAGCTACAGTATCTGCATATTGTCAAGGACATAATGATATGAGGGAAATACGAAATTTAAAAGCTACATGGCAGTGTTTTTAGGTTAGAATTCATTTTTGTTACTTCTAAAGCAGTTCCCAACTTGTTGAGAGGATGTGAGGGAGTTAGTTTTCTATTGCTGGTATAGCAGTTAAGAAAGACTTACTGGTTTAAAACAATGCAATTGCTAACCTTAAAGTTTTATTGTCAGAAGCTGGACCCGGGTCTCACCAAGCTACAAACAAGGTACCCGACAGGGCTGGTTTTCTTTGTGAAGCTTCAGAGGAGAATATTTCTGTATTCATTCAGGTGATAGGACTGGGGCTCCTGATTTTTTTTTTTTTTTTGCTGGTGTCCTTGCTTCTAAAATGTGCCCGCTATCCTTGGACACACTGCCCATCTTCAGAGCCATCAACAGCATGCGGTATCCCTCAAAGGAGAGGTGTGACTGTCTCCTGGTTTTCCACCTTCCCATTTGTTTGACCTACTCTTCTTCCTTGTGTCTTTTTTTAAGGTTTTGTTTGTTTGTTTGTTTTGTTTTTCAACTAGTGCCTGTGAATATCACAGAACAGTGGGGATTGTTTTGGGAGTTTGGAAGCTGTATTTAAAATATCTCGAACATTTTCAGTTCCTGAAACTGAAAACTCAGGCTCCTTTTCCTCCCTCCTGCTGAACCACATCCACATTTTCAGAAGCCTACCTCCTGGTTCTCTGTCATCTCTCAAAAGATAGATAGATAGATAGATAGATAGATAGATAGATAGATAGATTGCTATTCTTCTTAGGTTTCTCTACTAAAAGATAGCATGGTATATTTAACTGTCTGAATCTAGCTGATTTTACTTAAAATGATGGTGCCTAGTTCCATCCATTTTCCTGCAAGTGAATAGCCCTGCCTCTCTTTCAAGGGGTCTACTGCATAATCCAGGGTAATTGCCCCATTGGAAAGTGGATTAGCAGCCTGTGGAATTAGGGGAATTAATTTCCCGCACCATGTAACATTAATATCCAGGAATGTGACCCTCGCAACTAGGGGCTGAGCTTTTGTTGGGGGTGGTTATTTTGCCTACAGTGTTTTATCACTTACAGGGCTGCCTTGAAAGCCATGCAGTCTTTCACAGGTAGTTTATGAAATGCTGCTTGGCAACTCTTTTAACTTTTTTCTTTTTCTTTTTTTGGTCCAGCGTTACAGACTTCCTTAATTTTTTCCAAAGATTTTGGTTTGCTTGTATTTATTCGGAAATCGCTTAGCATTGATGAAGTAAGTTTAAACCTTCCATTTTGTTTCATATGTATTCTTCTATGTTGGAGCGATTCTTATTTTTACCCATGTTTACTGTGTTTCTTTCTCTTATAGTTTCGTGATTGTAGAGAAGAAGCCCTAAAATTTTTATGTGTTTTCTTAGAAAAAATTGACCAGAAGATCACACCTTATTCTCTTGATGTTAAGGTAACATGGAAAAAAAAAAAAAAAACAAACCTCATTGGGACTTAGATTTATTTTATTTATGCCTTTCTTGTTGGGAGGGTTATTTTTCCTTGATTGTATTAAAAATGAAGTGAATTTTTCGTTATTAAAGTTAAGACTCCTGTCAGAGAAAATGATAATTTTTCATAGCTGCCTTGATAACTTTCTGTATTTTGGATAAAATCTTTTACAAAAACTTGTAATAAATTGGGTTGTTTTTTGTTTTTTGTTTTTTGTGGAACCAGAGATTGAACACAGGCCCTTGCGCTTGCCAGGCCAGCTACTTATTTATATAGTTATTTAGTACAGGGTCTTGCTATGCAGCTCATAGTGATGATCCTCCTGTCCCAGCCTCTCCAGCGTTGGGATTACAGGTGTGCACCACCATGTCTGGTTTCAGTGGCTGGTTCAATGTGGTTCCAGGGCTGGCATGGTATGCGGTATCGGAGATTGAACTCAGGTTCTTGTACTTGCCAGGCAGGTGCTTAGACCGCACAGCTGTCTCCCCAGCTGCTAAATTGGATTGCTTGAATTGTGGGCAAATTCCAGGGCACGTCAGATGATAACTTTATTTTATTTATTTAATTTTTTTTGGTACTGGGGATTGAACTCAGGACCTTGTGCTTGCCAGGCAGGTGCTTAGACCACTGAGCTATATCCCCAGCTCCCAGATAATAATTTTAAAGAAGCCTCCCTGTCTCTCAGTCTTCTCACGATAGCAGTCTGAAGGTTGCCTCCCGTTCTCCAGCCTGCCCTCCTTAGGTTTCCTGGAACTAGCAGTCATAAAGTTAGGTTGGTTTTTCTTGGCTCTGATTATGCCCTTAATAAATGTCATGAAGCAGGGTAAATTGTGTCGCTCCTCAATGTGTGTCCAGTTCTTATATCCTGGAATTCAAAAAGTCTGTTCCATTGAGGTCATTTAAACGAAGCACTGTTGGCCTCCATGTTGCAGGTCTGTGTTCAAGGATTCAATCACCTGCAGATTAAAAATAGTAAAAACCAATTGCATCTATTTTTTTTTAAAAAAAACAAGTTACATCTATACTGAGCATGTAAAACTTGTCATTCTCCAAATAACACAGTGTAGCAGCTATTTATACAGATTTGTCTGGCATTAGGATTATAATTAATCTGGAGTAGATGATTTGAAGCATGTGTATAGGTGATATGCAAATATATTATTTTGTATAAGAGACTTGACCATCTGCAGAGTTTTGGTTGTGTTGGTAAAAAGACAAAATTTTGAAAATTATAATTAGCTAAAATGTTATGTTTGGGCTGGTGAGATGGCTCAGTGGTCTAAAGCACCCACTTAGAACAAACTAAGCCAAGCACAGGGACCGCGGTTCGATCCCCCAGCACCACATGCCAGCCAGCCCCGCCCCCTGGTGGGCTGAGCTGGCCACACACACACACTAAAATAAATAAATAAAAAAAAAAAAATAAAATAAAATGTTATGTTTAATGGTTATCAATCTTTTTTTTATTTTTTATTTTTTTTAATTTTATTTGTTTATTTATTTATTTAGTGTGTGTATGTGGCCAGCTCAGCCCGCCCCCTGGTTGGCTGGCATGTGGTGCTGGGGGATTGAACCGTGGTCCCTGTGCTTTGCTTAGCTTAGCTTGTTCTAAGTAGGTGCTTTAGACCACTGAGCCATCTCACCAGCACCTATCAATCTTTTTAAAAAGGCTTTTTAATTTCCTCTCTTTGTCTATGTAGTCTATCTTGCTTGTCATCGTTTTGGCTTTTGTTTTTCCTTTTGAGACACCACTTGCTGTATAGTTCAGGCTGACCTTAAACACACTATGTAGCCCACACTAGCCTCAAACTTACGGTGATCCTTCTGCCTCAGCCTTACAGGCATGCACGACCATGCATGGGCCTTTTAATTTTTAAAAGAAGTTGCTTATAAGAGGCTTAATATTTATATAGCATACCACACATTACAAAGTTCTTTTTTTTTTCAAATCAAATTGATAGGACAGTTTCAATAATTAACACATTGCATACTGTCTTCCTAGTGGCTATTTGCTGTATAAGATGCTGACATGATATCCTATTTGCAAACACTATTACAACAAATCCTTTTATTCATTAAGAGAATGTAACTATATATCCTAACCATTTTGAATATACAGATACAAAATGTATCCCCTTTTTTGTTTAGTTCCATTATTTGAATATTCTAGGTGTGTTAACTCAGCAAAATATACTAAAAGAGTCCAGTAGTCCATAGTAGTATTGGGTCTTCCGCTTGACTGGCAATGTCAGAAATTGTTGACCTGAGTCTCCTACAGCTCAACATAACAGCATGGCTTTACTTCTTTTTTTTTGGCTTTACTTCTTATACTTGGTTTTTATACCTTTCTGCTGGATGGTTAAGACCAAGATAAAGCAAGACCTATGCAACAAGAGTTGTAGCTTTTGGATCTGATAAGGCCAGTGAAATCCCCTCAGGATTTATCCTGAGATCCCGTACCTCATTGTAGAACCTTTGTCAGTGTCAGCCATGTGGATGAGTCACGGCCATTGCTTGGCCAATGTGCTCCCTGTGAAAACCTGAGAGAATGTTTTCTCTCCATGTGACTCTCCTTAGGCACACTCTACATCATGGATCACTTTCCTCTTTGGCCCCATAATCTCCTTGATCAGAAAATTTGGGACACTACCGAGTTACATGATGTTACAGTACAAGTTCTCATATGTCCTGAGTCTTAATTGGTCTTAGAAGGCTAGGGCTAAAAAGTTGGCTTTCATTGCAGCCCTCCTTTTTCTCTAATTTTGGTCTGCAAACTTAGGTTGTTAACCCTCCAGAAGAGAAGCTTATTGTTATTACCATACAACCTAGGCTGTGAAGCTTAAGCTCATTATCTGTCTCAGAGTTCTTTAATGTATAGTTTGTTTTACAGTTTACCAGGGCCTGCTGAATTGGCTGGCGCAGCATGTGGTGCTGGGGATCAAACCGAAGTCCCTGCATACTTGCCTAAGCTTGCCTCAGCAGGCGCTTTAGACCGCTGAGCTGTCTTGCTGGCCCCAGAAGCTTTCATTATTGTTACAAACACAGTGTATTGCATCAGTGTTGTTAAGGGGTTTTTTGCTGTGTTTTATTTTTGATGGTACTGGAGATTAGATCCAAGAGCTCTTGCATGTTAGGCGAGCCTTCTTCCCCTGAGCTCTAGATCCAACACCCTTTATTCTCAGTAAGTTGCTCAAGCTAGCCTCCAGTGAGCAATCCTTCTGCCTCAGCTTCCCAAGCAGCAGGGTTCGCAATATGTGTCCTCAGGTCCGGCTTCTGTAAGTCTTAATCTGTACACTTAACGTACTCTAATGCTATATTCTGAGTGCTACATATGAACTTTTAATATGCCATGCTTTGGTATTGCACCTTGGGGGTGTAATTTTAGCTTAATATTAAGTCTCAGTTCTTCTGTCTTATTAATGATTTTGGTTTGTCTCTTTTAAAACCTAGACTACTTGTACCAGTGTATATACAAAAGACAGAGCTGCTAAATGTAAAATTTCAGCCCTAGATCTTCTCATTAAGGTAATTTTATATTTTTTTAAAGTATTTTAAGTAAAATAGCAAATTGGAGTATGTTCTGAGTGGAAGTTCTGGAAGAGGACAGGGTTGCATCATGTTTGGTTTTTTTGTTTGTTTGTTTTACGGAACCGGGGATTGAACTCAGGCCCTTGTGCTTGGCAGGCAAGCGCTTATTCTACTGAGCCCTCTTCATCTTGTTGATGTGTGGCTGAGACACATTTCCAACCATCACCCAGCAGTATCCTGATAATTGTCTCGTACCTTCCTGGGTAGTAAAAGAATTTGGGGTTGTGAGGGGAAAGAAAGAGAAAAATAACTACAGAATTTGTTACTCCTCCTGCCTTGGGCGAGACCTAATACTATTGGCAGTTGCCGAAAGATCATCGTGTTGGGCCTCTCAGGACTTTTCTCCTGAAGCCGTGGCAGTGGCGATGGGAAGGTTGCACTTCAGTGGTCCATGGCTTACCCCTCTGTGTGTCTGTCTGTTTTGCATACTCTGTTTCAAAATTCCTTTGATCTTGGTTGGTCTAGATTTTTTTTTTTTTTTTGTACTGGGGATCAAACTCAGGACCTTGTGCTTGCCAGGCAGGCGCTTATGCCAGTGAGCTCTCTCCCCGGCCCCTGGTCTAGGTCTTAAGTGCCCTTGAGGGAATGTTTCAAGTCATGTTATTGGTTTCTGAGGGAGGCCCAGTTAGGCCTAGACTGTCCTTCTCTTGTGCCTTCACCACCCTCCCTCCCTCCCAGTCATCTCGGTGGATGTGAGTCCTGAGTGTGAGTCCTCTCATGAGGCAGGGGTCTGAAGTTGCGCTGCGTATAGATGCGCAGAGCTAGAGGAACCCTTTCTATATTGTCTTCTTTAGAAAATGCTAATTTGTGTTCTTCTAGTTACTTCAAACTCTGAGGAGTTCTAGGGTCATGGATGAATTTAAAGTTGGAGAATTATTTAATAAATTCTATGGAGAACTTGCATTGAAAACCAAAGTACCAGATACAGGTAAGATTCATTTCAATGTTATTTTATTTATTCTGTTTATTTACTTTGAGTTTTTTGAGACAGGGTCTCACTGTGCAGGTCAGGTTTGCCTTGAATTTGTAGAAATCTTCCTGGTCCAGTGCTGGGATCACAGATGTGTACCACTATGCCCAACTTTTAAATATTCTAGTAAGTTAATATAGCACAAGACTTAATATTTCCTTTATTAAGGTTTAAATGTTTTATAGATGAGTCTTTTTTTTCTGAAAATGTACCAAAATGTAACAAAAACAGTGTATGAAGACTTGTCTATAAAAATGTTGATCTTTACAAAATGCTTCCTTTATACACTAAACACATGTTAACTGTGATTTAATTTATAATAATAGACTGCCATAAAACTGAGTAAAGATAGAACACAAATCTAGGTATTTTATATGTTACTAAAAAAATTGCTTTTGAACTAACTGGCCATTTCTTTTTTTTTTTTTAAATTTATTTAGTGTGTGTGTGTGTGTGTGTGTGTGTGTGTATGTGTGGCCAGCTCTGCCCACCAGGGGGCGCGGCTGGCTGGCATATGGTGTTGGGGGATCGAACCGCGGTCCCTGCACTTTGCCAAGCTTGTTCCAAGTAGGTGCTTTAGACCACTGAGCCATCTCACCAGCCCAACTGGCCATTTCTTAATCGTACATTTTTATTATACCATGTGAACTATAAGTTAACCTTTTGTTACCTTTCAATTTAATTTTGGGACTTTGTCTAAATTTTATTTTTCAGTTTTAGAAAAAGTATATGAGTTCCTAGGAGTATTAGGTGAAGTGCATCCTAGTGAAATGATAAATTATTCAGAAAACCTTTTCCGGGCATTTCTTGGTGAACTGAAGACGCAGGTAAGATGAACTTGGTGGTATTTTGCTTCTGTGGCCTTAGTTGCTCTTTCCTCATTGAGGTAATTCCTTCCTAAACCTGCTTTTTAGATGACATCCGCAGTCCGAGAACCCAAACTCCCCGTGGTGGCTGGCTGTCTGAAGGGACTGGTCTCACTTCTGTGCAACTTCACCAAGTCCGTGGAAGAAGGTACTGCTGGGCTTCACTTGATTTTCCTTCTCTATTCAAGAACTACGTAAATCTCACACAAATTGCCTGTCTGGGAAGCAGGGAGCAGGGAAAAGCCTGAGAAGAAGGGCAAGGAACCGAATTTGGTCTCCGGGCCGTGGCCCCATGCCCCATTCCCACAGGTGGCGGGGTTAGTGCTCTCCCAACCCAAGATCCTCCTAGGAGGTTGCTACGTAATCCAGTCCAGTGGACACTGAGGATAATGGGCACAGTGGCCTCACGGGATAGTTGTGTGCCTTTTCTGTCTTCCTCGAGGTTATCAGTTCACTGAGGCCAAAAAGTGATTTTTTGGTGCACATTTGTAATTCTCATATAATAATTTGTCATGTACTATTTGTGGAAATACTGAAGGGAAAATATGGTGGCCTTGAGTGAGTTACTTCATTTAGTCTTCCCAACAACTCTAAAAGAAGGCACAAACCATCTCTTGTACAGGTAAGAAAGCTGAGGCTCTGAGACAAATAGCTAAGAGAGCTTAGAAGTGAAGAAGCAGAATTTAAACTCTTATCTTTTTTTTTTATTTTTTAATTTTATTTATTTATTTATTTATTTATGTGTGTGTGTGTGTGTGTGTGTGTGTGTGTGGCCAGCTCAGCCCACCAGGGGGCGCGGCTGGCTAGCATGTGGTGCTGGGGGATTGAACCGCGGTCCCTGATGCTTTGCGAAGCTTGTTCTAAGTAGGTGCTTTAGACCACTGAGCCATCTCTCCAGCCCTAAGTAGGTGCTTTAGACCACTGAGCCATCTCACCAGCCCTAAACTCTTATCTTTGTTATCTCAGATTTTTTTTTTTTTTTGCGGAACCGGGGATTGAACTCAGGCCCTTGTGCTTGCCAGGCAACCCCATGTTCTACTGAGACATCTCCCTGACCCTCAAAATGTTTTTGCTTTGCCCCAGAAATAACTACTGCAGCCCTAACCTGCAATTGTCTACGTGGAGCAAATGTTGGAAGAGATTGCATACTCCTGAGTGCATTGGGGGCTATCGGAGTTAATGCAGGTGCCAGGCTGTCTAAAGGAAACCTGGATTATTCCCAAAGTCCCAGCTGTTTGGGTGGCTAGGGAAGGTGGATTGCAAGGTTGAGGCCAGCCTGATCCTTTCTCAAAAAGGGCTGGGAATGGTGTCCCATGGGAGGCCCTGGGTTCAATCACTCATATCACAAGAAAAATAAAGCTGTTATTTGTACAATTGTTGGTGAAGTATGTCAGACAGTAGTGTTATGATTTGTAACAAAAGGCTTTTTTTTGTTATTTCCCAGATCCACAGACTTCAAGGGAGATTTTTGATTTTGCACTCAAAGCAATTTGTCCTCAGGTATGATTAATAATGTAGCTCACTTACTGTTGAGTTTGTGATTTTTCAAACACTAATAGTTAATTTTTTTTTTTTTTCTGAAATAGATTGATCTGAAGAGATATGCTGTGCCTTTGGGTAAGACTCTATTTAGATTACCAAATTAACATCTCAAGTACGTTTTTTTATTACATTACCAGTGAAAGAGAATATGAAGACTGGGCCTGGTGGCACATGCCTGTAATCCTGGCGCTTGGGAGGCTGAAAACAGGAGGATCACTACACAGTCCGATCTGTGTAGTGAGAACTAGCACTAAATACATAAGAAAGTGAATGTGGTAACGTCTGTGATATTTCTATTTTTTATAGGAAGGCTTTTGGGAATTGAGTGTTTAGCACCCACTTTGGTTGAAATGGTCACACTCAGGTTACATAGCTTAAAATATTTTAGGGCATCTTTCAGGGAATCCAGGCTGTTGAATTGTGACTTTGACCAGATAAATCCTGATCCTCTTTCTAACTCTTGTTTGGGGTTCAAGAGCCAGATCATGGGCCTGTGCGTGGCAGTAGCTGTGGGATTTCTGGGTTACTGTACTGTCATATACTCAGTCTTCTTGGACCTGTGTTTTAATCTGGACACATTGCTGCCACTTTATTAATTTCCTCTTAGGTGTGTATTGTCTTATATTAAGTATGGTGGTCTCTGCTCTTGCAGCCGGCCTGCGCTTATTTACCCTGCATGCTTCTCAGCTTAGCACCTGCCTTCTAGACAACTGTGTGTCTTTATTTGAAGTACTGTCAAAGTGGTGCAGCCACACAAACATAGAACTGAAGAAAGCTGCGTATTCAGCCTTGGAGTCCTTTCTGAAACAGGTACTGCAAGTTCAACTTTCTTTTTTTTTTTTTTTCAGATGTATTTATTTATTTATTTATTTTGTGTGTGTGTGTGGCCAGTTGAGCCCCCCAGGGGGGCGGGGCTGGCTGGCATGTGGT